AAACATAATGTCTTATAAAGTTGTCATCTGTAATATGAGATATTAACTAAAATGAAAGATTGCCACCAAAGACGCAGCCTCTAAGAGTCATATGTTCTACGCTAAGAGCTTCTCAGCTATTCTCTTTATCAGTAGATTCCTGATCATCTAATCTCATACGGATACTCTCCAACACAACCTCCTCCTCCTCTTCTTAACAAAGTGGTAGCCAATCTAGATTTCATTTGATTTCCCAAACTTATTTTGGTCTTTCGAATAGCTAACAGTTGACATGCTATCACAATATAGAATCAAACCATTCTCTACATGTCGAACTACAACCAAATTCTAAGAGAATCTACACAATGAGGTTGCCTCCAATGCTATAGTTTATATCGCCACATATTCTATTGTAAGTGGAAAAGGTTTTACACTACTTGATCTTACTAATCTAAGAAATGACCCTACCATTTAGTAAGAAAAAATAACTAGAAGTAAACACTTGTTCATCCAGATCGCTTGACCAGTCGGCATCTAGATATATTTGTAGGAGAGTGTCCTTTCTACCAAAGCACAATGCATAAATACAGTCTCAATTAAATAGTAAGCATCCTCTTGATTCATCCTAGTGAGTTATACTAGGATTGGATTGATGCCTACTGATCAATCCTACTACAAGGAATGCATCTAGTTTGTATGCATACATGACTACCAACTACACTCTAAAAGGGTTAATCAACATTCACTTCTTATCTACTTTAGTGTTGGGACATTGCCCTAAATTTAGAGCATGACTCTTAGCAATTGGTGTCCTGATAATCTCCACGATGTGCCAAGCCATCAATATGTCATCGTCATACAATGATAATATCTCAAACTCTTATTAGCTCTGGGTAGGTAGACACAATTATCCTCATCGATCATTATAAAACTATAGTCCAATATTATCTCATATAACCAATAAACACTACACTTTGGAACACTGTTTCAAGCCACTAGTAGATCTCAAATTTAGGATTTTATGCTCAAGTCCATTTGGCTTTCAAATACATACATTGATCCACATAGATCTCCTATTCTAATTATCTAAGAGAAAATATGTCTCTAAGTCCATTAGACTAGTTAAAGATTAATATACACTACAAGAGTCAATTTTATGTGAACAGAGTCACTTCTCATCACTAGAGAAAACGTCTCTTCATAGTTCACCCTACAACTTTAAGTGTACCTTTTCTCTAACAAGTGTGCTCTGCACTACTTGATTATCTTGTCCTACTTTACCTTAAAAATCTATTTACTCTCAATGGTCTTGCGTTCAGTTGGAAGCTTCACCAGGTCCCTGACTTGGCTCTTCTTCATGAATTCAAGCTACCCGTCCATCATTGCCTAGCATCCTCAATTGATTTGAGCTCTAAAATAATATATAGTGCTATCATGAATATTTCCACATTAATATCAACATATCATGCAGGTACTAGTCCATGGGACGATTAATGATCCAGTTTCATATATGACTTTGAGTCATCTAAAGGTATCTTATTACCACAATCCCCAGCTGGTAAAGGAACCATCCTCTTCTATCGCTGGCTTTATGACAATCTCCTCGATCTCATATGAACACAAATCCTAACCTATTTCTCATTAGTACGAGAAATGCTCCTTGAGGAGCTCAACATGCTATAATTCTATCTATCATAGTTTTGTCATAATGCTCACATGTAAACATATCACATGTAGCATCCGGAATTATCATGTAGACATACACTTCTTCCTTATAGGTTCAACTTCTCATACCAATGAGAAGTTGTGTGTGCGTGCGTGCACGCGTGTGAGAGCAATACACCCACACAGGTGTAGTGATCCAACACCGAACCCTTGGTTATCCATGACTTATTGGGTGTGGACTATATTGATCTAGAATGTACATGGTTTAGATTTAGATCTGAATTTAGAATTGTTCATTAGTTTATTAATGATGATTTTGGCTATGAAATAGAAAATTAAGAATTTTATTATGAAAATATATAATATTTCCTTAAAGATTGAATATTTGGCATTAAAAATTTAGTCTTTTAACATATAGGATGTTAGATCTATGAAAAAAACTCATTTTTTGTAAAATTAGTGGGTTAGTTTTTAAATAAATTATGGATTTATTAGAAAAGTTCTTTTGAATTTTTAAAAATTTAGAAAATTGTTTTTTTAAATTTTAAAAAAGGTCGGCCACACCCAACCTCGGGCGCTACTAGCACCAATGATTGCACCTAGGACGCATCGCGAATGGTTAAGATGGTCACAGTAGTGGACACAGCATTGGACACTATCGGCTTCACCGCTCGTAGAGCTGTGAGTGCTCGAAAATAAATGAAGAAAAAAGAAGAAGAAGAAGAGAGTGTAGGGGAATAGGCAGTCGACAGGGACCGGATGGGTTGTCAGAGATCTACAAGCAGACTTCCTAGTATGCCTCTTTAATGTTCAGCCCCCTAATGTTTTGGAAATCCTAAGGATAATTTTAAAAATATAAATTTTTAGTGTTTTTCGGAAAAATTAAAAATTTTATTCAAATTTTTTTTTCAATTTTGGAAAATCTAGGAATTTTAAGATGTCTTTTTAAATTAATATTAAATTCTTTTAGAAACTTATTTTATTTTTTTAATTTCTAAAAATATTATTATTACTACTAAAAAAGTAGAAAATTACTAAGAAAATGTTAAAACAATTCTAGAAAATTCTAAAAATTTATATTTAATGTTTTTCAAGATTTTGAGAAGTTTTTTCAAAATTTTGGAAATTTTTCATGTGAGGCCTACTAGGTTTTATACATGAAACTTTTGTGGATTTTTACTAAAAATTATAATGTATATTACACACACATATATGCATATACATATATACATTGTGTGTAGTCTATGTTAGTGTGTGTGCATGTATGTGTATATATGGAAAAGTATTCCTAAGGTGACACCTTAGATTCTATCTAAGGAAGTACCTCCAAAACTATATTATATGCCAAAAATTTACTTGATCCACTCTATTCATTTCCATTTATATATTTTAGATTATGTATAAATAAAAAATTAGGTATATTAGCTAGTGGTTACTCATACATTAAGTGATTGTAAAATTAACTATTTTACAATAAAATAACTAAAGAGTAATAAAAAAGTATGTGTTAGAAGAATTAAAACATCATATTTTTTGTTTTATAGGTATTTTCAGACATTTAGATTATGATGAATGTAGCAGATCATCAATTTGAGGAGTCTTCACTTCACGTAAAAATCCCCAAATCATCTCGTTCTCTCCCAAAAATCGGCCTCACCCGCGTACGAAGTCCGCCGCCGACGGGAGATCAATACGGCGTCGACCGCCGCCGACGAAGATCCGTCGAACTTCGCCGGGTCTCGTGCTCGAGCCTCAGCCCGCACCCCCGACGAGATCTCGTGCTCGAGCAGTCGAACTTTGCAGGGTCTCTCTGTAGGATCTCTAGTTCGCTCTCTCTCCCAGATCTCGTGCTCTCGCCGTGCCGTCGAACTTCCTCGAGCCGCCGACCTGACGAGATCTCGTGCCCAACTCTCGCCGCCGACGGGATCAGAACTTCGCGATCTCCCTCAAGCCCCAAAACACGGCATCCGACGCTGCAGGTAAAGATCTCCATCAATAATTGTTCAAATCCTTTGATTGTGTAGAAATTATAGGAATTTATGTGTAGAAATTATAGGAATTTATGTCAAATTGATGATAATAATTCATATCAAATTATAGGAATTTATGTCAAATTTATTTACGGTGCTAATTACGTTCCATTGGCGAAATGGTGGGGTTATGGATTCCTCATCTCCGTCGTCAATATTATCATTTGGCTCGGCATTGGGGGTTTCTGGTGGAAGTTTATTGGCTTACGGTGAAGTGTTTCATGATTAAGTCCATCGTGCACTAATTTTTGCTTTGAGCTTAGTATCCCCCATGTTTGTTGTTGGGGAGGCATTGAAATTTCAAAATCAGTTGTTGGATTTTTTGATAGAAATTATAGGATTTTTTGAAATTTCTATATTAGCGGAAAACTTTGTCCCAAGTTCTGAGATAATTTTCTGGTTTTGGTGTTTGTTGGGCTATGTTGCAATTATAGTCTGTAAAATTAAACCAATCACCAATGGTTTGTTTGGATACTATGTTTTTGTGTATTTGACCTGTAACTTCGTTTTTATATAGGTCGATTACAATTTTTTTGAGAAATGGAAAACTTGAATGACGATAGTTTGATATATACTCCTCAAGTATCAGATGAGTTAAGGCCAAAAAAGGGGCAAGAATTTGACACAATTGATGATGTTGTGACATTCTACAATACTTATGCAAAAACAGCTGGGTTTAGTGTAAGGGCTTGGACTACTCAGAAAGAGCCGGGAAGTGGTGAAATAAGAAGGAAGGAGTATGTTTGTTTTAAACAAGGAAAATCTTCAAGAATCGCGGATGTTGAAAATAAAAGACGTCGAGGAAGCTTAGCAGAGGATTGTCATGCCAAAATTGTAGTTTTAAAATCAAACTCCGGAAAATACATTGTTACTGGTTTTAATGAGGAGCACAGCCACCCTCTATCAACGCCATCAAAGGTTCATCTTTTAAGGTCCCACCGTAACGTTTCAGCCACAACAAAGTCTTTAAGTAAACAGCTCTCCATGGCGAATATACCTCAGCATCAACAATTTAGTTTTCTTGGAGTACAATCTGGAGGTATAGAAAATATTGGGTGCACTCAAAGAGATTTGTATAATCATGAAAGAGATATATGTGCTGATATGAAGGGGCATGATGGTGAAATGTTTTATGATTATTTAAAATTATAACAAGGAAAGAATCCCTCGTTTACTTTTCAAATTGAGGCCGATGAGGAACAAAAGATTACTCGTTGTTTTTAGTCTGATGCAACTTCAAGGCGGGCTTACAGTTTTTTCGGTGATGTTGTAATCTTTGATACCACTTATAACACTAATCGATATGGCCTAATATTTGCACCAATAATGGGGGTTAACAATCATGGTCAGACAATTCTTTTTGCTTGTGGATTTTTAAATCATGAGATCGTTGATGATTTTGTATGGTTATTTAATCAGTTTTTTGCAAGTATGCCTGGTGGTGCCCCAAAGATGATTATTACCGATCAAGATCCAGCTATGACTAAGGCATTTCCTCTTGTTCTTCCAAATACTTTTCACAGGTAATATAGTTTGTATACATTGTCTTTCTTTCAAATAATATTTATATACATTGTCTATTTTTTTAACACTTTAGAAATTTCTTTTGACAGGTATTGTAGTTGGCATATATTAATGAAGTTTTCTGAGAAAATTGATGCAGTGAAGTATAGTGTTTATAAGAGTGAGTTTTCGGCTTGCATTTGGAAATCGGAGACTCCTGAAGAATTTGATTTACAATGGAAAAGTCTGATTAAGAAGAGTGGGTTAGATGAAAACAAATGGTTGCAAGACCAATATGAACTTCGGTCTAGATGGATTCAAGCATATGTTAATCACGTATTCTTAGCTGACATGTCAAGGAGTCAACTAGCAGAAAGTGGACATGCATTTTTCAAGAAATTTGTTTTGAAGAATAATTCATTAGTGGATTTCATGATTCAGTTTGATAGGGGAGTAGTGCTCCAACATCACGAGGAGTTGATGGCCGATCACAAAGAAGTAATTGAGAAACCTAAACTTGGAATAAATCATGACTTTTTGGAGCAAATGGTCGATATTTACACGAATGAGATGTATTACAAGTTTGAGGCTGAAGTGTGTGATAGCTTTAACTACAAGTTGCAATGTGTTAGGGAAATTGACAATCACTATGTGTATCAAATTCAAAGAAAGAAGCATGTAGCAAGTAAAGTCCGCGAAATCGTTTATGACAAGGACTTGGATTTGGTTTCTTGTAGTTGTAAAAAGTTCGAAAGTGCCGGAATCCCATGTACGCACATTATCTCATATTGGATGAAGTTTGATGCTGAAATATTGCCCGATAAATACATCTTAAAGAGGTGGACTAAGTCTGTAAAATCAGAGATAGTGATTGATAATAAAGGCATGCTGGTAACCTCTGACAATTCTTATCTTTTATTGCGGAGTCAATTTATCCAATCATCTTTGGATTTAGTTAACAAGTCCCTCGTATGTGAAGAAACAAGGACGATGTTTACCGATGGTTTGCGTAGCATTAATGAGCAAATAAGTCAATTTCTTAGTAGCCATATGATAGGTGATAGTGATGGTACTAGTGCGCATGGTTCTTGCACTTTTCAAAATAGTTTCAATGAACCCAATCAAGTGCGAGCAAAGGGGTTCGGCAAAAGGTTGAAAGGAGGAAAAGAGAAAGCAATGGCAAGAGTTAAGAATAAAAGAGAGAGACGTTGTCACGGTTGTGGTAAAGTAGGCCAATCACATGATAAGCAAAATTGTCCAGCACTCACAAATCCGTAAGTAATAATTCTTTTATTCTTTATGTTGTCTTATTTTTCACATTCTAGTATTTCTCTTGATGTATATATATTTTTTAACATAATGTAGGTCTTCTACATGCGTTGATGTGAATTTGCAAGAGGGTAATGAGATATCAAGTGAAGATGGGGAGGATGTGAATCTTTCTGAATGAACCCGAGGAGTGGTGCAGAAATTTGTTTTAACAAGAAGTAAGCCCCTTTATACTCAATTCTTTATCTTTTCATAATAACAGACATAGGCTAAGTGTATAAAAACAAATGACTTATTCATTGCATTGGCTGTTGTGTACAGAAGTTGTTGTTGCAAGTTGTTGATGCAGCAGCTGTTAAGGGCAGAGGTTGATGGTTGAAAAGCTGTTGATGCAGCAGCAAAAAGTGGGGATGCCTTTCAAAATGTTGATTATTGCTGTTATGGTTTGTTGATGTAACTTGTAAGGATTGTTGAAAAGCTGTTAATTTTTCCACAGTAGCTGCTCATGTTTATTAGCACAGTCTGCAGTGTACCTCTTGTAACTTATTGTATCACTATTACAGGTGAAAAATGCACGTAACAAGAAAAAGATGTTTTTGGGTGTATAATGTGTAGCATGTTCTTTTACTGTGAGTTTGAGGTTGATGGTGAACTTGCTTGCTCTTATTTGCGCCGGTATATCACAATGTGTAGCATGTTTTTGGGTGTGTAGATATTTTTTTTATTTTAGCCTTGTTTTCATCCTGTGGCATAGGTCATTTGAGCACAGTCCAGCAATATGTTAAGAGGCGGAACAGTTGGCCAATTCCTAAACTTAATGTATAAACAGTTCTGTTAATATTGTAGCATTCAAAAATACAATGTATCATCCGCATGTTTTATCAAAAGTGTCAATGATTGCCTAGGTACTTTGGGACTACTGATCTTCAAAGATCCAGTTTGATTACTGAGGGCAGGAAATGAACTCATTTCTGTCTACATTTAAACAACAACAGTTAAACATTTAACTTTTCATTGCATTAGCCGATGACAATTGTTAAAACAACAGCAGTTAAACAACAACAGTTACAAAGTCTTGTTTCATTCCCACAAATCGTTTACATCACATAATTTCTTTCATGGCCAAACAAAAAGACAACAAAAAAGCTATAATAGTTAGCCATTTCCACAACACTTTTTCACGTACAACAACCAACTCACGAGCCTCTGGTGGGGCAATGACGAATGGTTTTTGTTCAATTGATGAAATCATGCACCAGCCCAAAAATGAACCGATTTTGGATTTCTACCTACAATACCTTACTCGTGGGATCAATAAATTTTTATACTATAACTTGATAGTTGTGCACTTGCAACTTTTGATTATCATTTATGCCCTATCAAGTTTTTGGTACTGTTACCGAGTAATAGTGCTTATAAGTACGATTTTATTTATTTTGGTGATTTAACTTGTGTGTTTTCTTATGAAGGAACCACTTAGAGATTGAAGATTAAGGATTGGAGATCGAGGATTTAAAGATTTGCGTGTGGTAACTCTTCTTTCTAATATTTTCAATTCCACCCTTTTAGTTAGTTTCGCACAATTAGAGACAATTAGAATCTTAAAAAAAAAGATTTTATTTTTGTCAACCATAATAAAATTCATCCTCCACTTGGACATTTACTAGCAAGATAATAAATTCAAACAAGAGCTCTCTTTCTCATATTTGTTTGATTGTTAACCCTAATTAAGAAAATATTTCATTTTATCATCTCTTTGTAGTTGCTTTTAATTCCTAGGGTTGCATTGCATATAATAGTAGGAATTTACCAATGTGATTTGAGAATCTTGATTTGACACACACATGAAAACATTCTAAGGATAAAAACCCCCTAATCAAGATAAGGTGAGGTATTTCATCATATTTTCCTTAGCCTAAAAATCACTAATTCTTCACTACACAAACTCAATCCTTTTAAAACTCATTAGACGTTGGCCCCTAAGGATTTAAGCTTATTAAGAAATAAGAAATCACTAAGTGAACCGGTTTAAGTTTACTTAATTTAATTCGTAGCTAAGACAAGGTTTAGGGTTGCATAAAGTACTCCGTTAGAAAGGAGGCACTTAATTGATCTTTGATCTCCCTCTAGTACTATTCTTACCTGGCTAACTGACCGAGTAAAACTTTGATCTTTTCACTAAAGGAGTTTTTGGTTAGGAGCTGGTTTAGTTGAGTCTAGGCTTAACCCTAGAATTTAAAGTGATTGACACAAGTGATTGCATGATTTATTTTAGTTAGGTTTTTCCTTTATTTTTCTCCTTTTTCTCATCATCTTTTTAATCTTTTAGTTTTATTTTTTTTTCTCTTAAAAAAATAACTTTTATTTTTCTTAGAATTTAAAAAAATTATAAAAAATTTTATTTTGGTGTATGCAAACTTGGATTAGGGATAATACCAATCATTTAATCCGTTTTGAACTATTTAAAGAAATGGCCAACACTAATACACCTGTTATTCAAGATATGTGTTATCAAACAAAGAAGGAAATCTCATCTTGCATTAAACTACCTGATAATCATATTTTTGTTATAATTTTATACCATCATTATCTATTTTTAATGAATAAATATACCACTAATAATTGTGTTTATCTTTTAATTATAGGTTAATAAAGAATAAAAGCCCAAGATCACTTCTCTCAACAAAAGCCCTAAAGATTTAATGAAGAATACAATAAAAGCCCAAGATCACTTCTCTCAACAAAAGCCCTAAAGATTTAATGAAGAATACAAGCAACAAGCACAAAAGCCCAAGAAAAATAAATATTCCATCAAGGAACAAATGAAGAAGTTTTGTAAAAAAGGAAACAAATCATGCAATCTGGACATTTCAGTAATGTTTGGTGTTTTGGCCATATCTCTCTCGTATCAACTCAGAATTGACTGAATAAACATTCTATGGAAAATTGAGAATGAGATCTGTAACTTTTGTATTTCTGATATCTTTAAAATCGGAACATATCATGAACAAATATTCGTACAAAGAAGCATAATCTGAATTTCTGTGCTGGAGAAGTAATTATGGGAAGAATTTGAAGGTTAATAAAGAATAAAGCCTAAAATCTCTTCTTTTACCAAAAGCCCATTAAGGTAATGAAGAAAACAAGCAAAAGGCCTAAAAATCCAAGCCCAAAAGCTCAAAGGCTAAAAATAATTCCTTAAGACTTAAGTCTTTATCCAAGGGCTCTCATTCATTGTTGTTTACTATAAATAGGGGTAGAGAGTGAGGAGTTGATGGTGTAAAAAATTTTGTAACTCTATTTAGAGAGGAGGGTTACTCTTAATTAAGAAGACCTTCTAATTTTTTAACTTTTTGTTACAATCAATAAAAGAATTTTTTCACCTCTTCATACTTTTCTTTTCTTCTCTTTGTTTGATGATGAAGATGAATATGTGATGAAGATGAAGATCAAGAGTGAGGTTTGCTTTCATCTTGAGGCTAGAACCCTCTTGGGTGGTAAATTTCCTCTTTGTTAATATTTTTTTTATTTTCTTGCTTAAATAGCCAAGAGGCTAGAACCCTCTTGCCTTAGATTTATTTCATGCTTATAGAGTAGATTTATTTCATGCTTATAAAGTAGATTTATTTTTTCGTATTTAATTCTTATAATTTATTTTATAGTTTAATTTTTGTAATTTATTTATAGTTAGATTTTATTTTCTTATACTATTCACCTTGAGGTAGAATCCTCTCGGGATTAGTTTTTTATTTGTTCATTTTTATTTTCTTTGATTCGCCTGGAGGCTAGAACCCTCTAGTGAATTGTTATTTTATAAGAAGTGGATTCAATTATAGATTCCTCATATCTTTAATTGAATCCTTCATCTTTACTTTCTTGAATTTTCTTTTTATTCTTGATTTTTCTTTTTGATTCTTGATTTTATTCATCTTTCTTTCTCTCATTGTGAAAATCATTCATTCTTTGTCACATACAATCTCACTTACATTTTCTGCCGATTTACACACTATCATTTTTACTCTCTCTCTATCTCTCCACAATCACATTCTATCATCACTCCTATTTGTCATGCACACAACATATGAATTGATTCTAATAATTTCCTACAAACACCTTCCTCGTAGGATCGATAACTTTTTATACTACAACTTGATTAATTGTGCACTTGTAATTTTAGGTATATATTTATGCCGCATCAAGTTTTTAAGATTATTAGAATTAGTTCTTATGTTGTGTGCGTGACAAAAATAGGAATAAAGAATAAGTGTGATTATGGAGAGAGATATGATAAGTGATTGTTTTGAATATATGCAAGTGACAATAAATTGAATTTTAGAGGAGAGAAGAAGAAATCAAAGAATAAAATAAAAAGAAAGAAAGAGAAAAATCAAGAAAACAAAAGATGGAGGGTTCAATTAAAAATATGAGAAATCTAGAATTGAATCCACTAGCTAATATTACTTATTAAATACAAACTATTCTCTTTTTGTCATATTTCAATTTGATTTATTAAGTATAGGCTATCAAACTATTTAAGGAAAATATAACATATCAAATTATCATCTAAGTCAAAATAACAATTTTGATAAGAATAACAACAAGATAGTAATCCTAGAATTCATAAGTATAACCTATCAAACCATTTAAGATAAGCATAGATTATCGAATTCTTCTTCTATCAATTAGTTCTCTAGTTAATTATCCTAAACATGATTATTTTAAGTGTAAGATAATAATTTGCATAACATAAAGAAAAGTAGACTAGTTTCATATAATTCTATGATTCGTACAAGAAATAATTTCACATCCTAAGAAATAAAAGTAAGAAATGAATTAAAGAGAATAAGAACTAATTACAAAACAAAAGAAAAGAAAAATAAGAAAAACTATACTATGAACAAGAACTAAATCTAACTACATTGCAAAAGAAATAAAGATGCAAGAAAATAAATCTACTCTACAAGACATGAATGTAAATCTAAACTAATAAGCAATAAGAAATTACTAAAAAAATAAGAAATAAAAGAGAAAAATAAAAGAAAAGCAAACCTTTAAATTGCTCTTTATCTCCATCTTCATCATCCAACAAAGAGAAGAAAAGAAAATTTTAAAGTGGAGAAAAATTCTTTTATTAATTGTAACAAAAGTTATAAATTTCGAAGGTCTTCTCAATTAAGAGTA